CTGTCTCTACTAAAAATACAAAAATTAGGTGTGGTGGCATGCACCTGTAATCCCAGCCTGGGAGGCTGAGGCAAGAGAATCGCTGGAACCTGGGAGGTGGAGGTTGTAGTGAGCTGAGATCATGCCACTGTACCCCAGCCTGGGTGACAAGAGTGAGACTCTTATCTCCAAGGGGGAAAAAAAAATTATCTTGGCGAGGCTTGAGTATTCATGCTAGTAATTCCAGCAGTTCGGGAGGCCAGGGTAGGAGGATTGCATGAGCCAGGAGTTGAAAACCAGCCTGATCAACAAAAGAGACTCACCCCATCTCTACAAAAAAAAAAAAAAAAAATTAAAACTTAGGTGTGGTGGTACACGCCTGTAGTCCCAGCTTCTTGGAGGCTGAGGTGGGAAGCTTGCTTGAGCCTGGGAGTCTGAGGCTGCAGTGAGCCATGATTGTGGCACTGTACTCCAGCCAGGGTGACAGAGCAAGACCCTGTCTCAAAAAAAGGAAAGAAATTATCTTAGTCTCATAGAAGAGAGATTGGCAGTGTCTTCCAATAGTATGGGAAGCTTCCATGTTTTAGGGTTTCAGCTAAACTCTCTTGGCCATTGTTTCTCAGTGGAGGCACTGTTGCCATTTTGAGAAGGGTGGTTCCTTTTTTTTTTTTTTTTTGAGACGGGGTGTTGCTCTGTTGCCCAGGCTAGAGTGCAGTGGTGTGATCTCAGCTCACTGCAACCTCCGCCTTCCAAGTTCAAGTGATTCTCCTACTTCAGCCTCCTGAGTAGTTGGGATAACAGGCACCCACCACCATGCCCAGATAATTTTTTTTAATTTTTGGTAGAGATGGGGTTTCACCATGTTGGTCATGCCTGTCTTGAACTCCTTGTGATCCACCCACCTCAGCCTCCCAAAATGCTGGAATTACAGGTGTGAGCCACCGTGCCCGGCCACAGCAGGGCATTTCTTTACTGTCCATACATGGTAAGTTTTAACATCCGAGACCCTAAGTGTTGGAGACTGCTGCCAACACACACACACCTTCCTCCACTCTCCCTTCGTGGCAGCGGAAGCTGTCCATAGATTTCGAAGTACCTCCTAGGGTACTGACAGTACCACCTCTGATTAAAGAGCCAGTATTGTAGGGTTTCTGGGGTTTCCATTTCTGAGAATTGTTCCACTCCAGAGCATTGTTTTGGTCAAGGAAGTGGGGGCTGTATGGATGTCAAACAGCGGGAAGGGCCACATGCAGCCTGCTGCCCCCTTGGGTCTGATGACTCTTGGAAGTGTTAGTGCACGTCCATCTCACACTTCCTGTGGAAGCAGCACTGGCGGACTGTCTGGGGCACGAATATAGGCTGCCCTGTCCTACCAAGTTACATCCTTTCCACTGAGGCAGAAGTGACCAGGGGAAGGGATCCTCGTGATATAACCCACACCGTCCCCACAGTGTGAACGTGGCGTCACTGACACAGTCGGAAATTCGCGACATCATCCTGGGTATGGAGATCTCGGCACCATCACAGCAGCGGCAGCAAATCGCTGAGATTGAGAAGCAGACCAAGGAACAGTCACAGCTGACTGCCACCCAGACTCGCACTGTCAACAAGCATGGCGATGAGATCATCACCTCCACCACCAGCAACTACGAGACCCAGACTTTCTCATCCAAGACTGAGTGGAGGGTCAGGTACTGTGAAGGGCAACATGTGGGGATGGAAAGGCCGCTGGCACTACTGCTGGTGCTGATGTTCTCTACCTGCGTTTAGGGCCATCTCTGCTGCCAACCTGCACCTAAGGACCAATCACATCTATGTTTCATCTGATGACATCAAGGAGACGGGCTACACCTACATCCTTCCCAAGAATGTGCTTAAGAAGTTCATCTGCATATCTGATCTTCGGGCCCAAGTGAGTAAGTGGACCCCGCTAGGCAACAGTGTGTGCTCAACACATTGTACCTGAAACGCAGACCTGAAATGATTAGGGACTTGAGATGCTGGTTTCAAGATTCATGGATGAGTAATTATACAAGGAGAACATCAAGCAGGGTTTTGGGCCCCGTGAGATATTAAAAGCTGTGGAAGTTGAGAGAAGGTAGTAAACGTAGTATTGGCACTTAGTCAGAAAATTCCTGATCAGGCGTGTGTGGTGGGTCACGCCTGTAATCCCAACACGTTGGGAGACCAAGGCAGGTGGATTGCTTAAGCACAGGTAAGTTCAAGACCCTGTTCTTAAAAGAACAAAAGTGGCTGTAGTCCCATCTCAGGAGGCTGAGGTCACTTGCATCCAGGCAGCCCAAGCAGTGAGCTTAGATGGCACCCCTGCACTCCAGCCTGGGTAACAGCAAGACCCAATCTCTAACAAAAGAAAAAGAAGAGGCTGGGCGCAGTGGCTCATGACAGTAATCCCAGCATTGTGGGAGGCGGAGGCGGGCAAGTCTCTTGAGCCCGAGTTCAAGAGCAGCCTGGTCAGTGTGACGAAACGCTGTCTCTTCCAAAAGACTCACCCCATCTCTACAAAAAAATATATACAAATATAAATAAATATATAGAAAAACTAGCCAGGCATGGTGGCGCACGCTGCTCAGGAGGCTAAGGTGGGAAGATCACCTGAGCTTGGAAGGTGGTGGTTGTAGTGAGCTGAGATTGTGCCAGTGCACACTAACCTGGGTTACAGTGATACCCTGCTTCAAAAAGGAGAAAAGACGCTTAACTTTACTAGTGTATCAGGGATATTCATAGTTTATAAAACACCATTTTGGACTGGGGCAAGTGGATCAGCTGAGGTCAGGAGTTTAAGACTAGCCTGGCCAGCCAGGCGCGGTGGCTCACGCCTATAATCCCAGCACTTTGGGAGGCCGAGGCGGGTGGATCACGAGGTCAAGAGATCGAGACCATCCTGGTCAACATGATGAAACCCCATGTCTACTAAAAATACAAAAAAAAAAAAAAAAAAATTAGCTGGGCATGGTGGTGCGTGCCTGTAATCCCAGCTACTCAGGAGGCTGAGGCAGGAGAATTGCCTGAACCCAGGAGGCGGAGGTTGCAGTGAGCCGAGATCGCGCCATTGCACTCCAGCCTGGGTAACAAGAGTGAAACTCTTGTCTGAAAAAAAAAAAAAAAAAGACTAGTCTGGCCAACATGGCAAAACCCTGTCTCTATTTAAAATATGAAAATTAGCCGGGCATGTTGGGCACCTGTAATCCCAGCTACTCAGAAGGCTGAGGCAGGAGAATTGCTTGAACCCAGGAGGCGGAGGTTGCGGTGAGCCAAGATCGCACACTGCACTCCAGACTTGTTGACAAAGCGAGACTCCATTTCAAAACAAACCCACTATTTTGTGGCCATCAGGTCAGCAAATTTGAAATGATTCTTAATATCCTGTGTGGGTGAGTTTATAGTAAACAGATCCTCTTTGTTGAAAATGTAAAATTAAAAATACCACCAAGTGCTGGTTTTCCAGATGTTTTCAGCTTGTGAAAGTACATTGGGCTGTATGTTTGTATGCTTGTTTGCTTATGAACACTGTACTTAATATTGAGCTGGGGAGCTGTGAGCAGTGCAGATCCCTGGACCACACTCAGGCGATTCTGATGTGGTGAGTCTGAGATGAGGTCCATGTCTGACATTTTGAACAAGCGTCCCCGGCTGCTTCAGACAGGGTTCTGATCACATTTTAAGAAACTCTGTCCTCGTTCTTGGGGGAAGGAGGGAAACAGGCTGCAGCTCCAACTTGGAGCTGCTGCTAAAAAGTGTTTTGGTTCCTGACCCCTTTGTCTCCAGATCGCAGGGTACCTGTATGGGGTGAGCCCACCAGATAACCCGCAGGTGAAGGAGATCCGCTGCATCGTGATGGTGCCGCAGTGGGGCACCCACCAGACTGTGCACCTGCCTGGCCAGCTGCCCCAGCACGAGTACCTCAAGGTGAGTGGCAGTGACGGAGCTTGGGAGTGTGGAAGAGCTGGAGCTTCCTGCCCCTCGAGGTAGGCATGCTACCCTCGTAGGTGTGATTCCTGTCTGCGGATGCGATTCTGAACAGCTCTCTACTACTCTGCCTACAGGAGATGGAACCCTTAGGCTGGATCCACACTCAGCCCAATGAGTCCCCACAGTTGTCACCCCAGGATGTCACCACCCACGCCAAGATCATGGCTGACAACCCATCTTGGGATGGCGAGAAGACCATTATCATCACGTGCAGGTGGGCTTGGGCTTCCTCGGGAGGAGTGAGGTGGCACAGGGACTGCAGGCCAGGGCCCAGAACGTGGCCTGAGCTGCTATGTGTCCTCGCCCTCCCCCAGCTTCACTCCAGGCTCCTGTACGCTGACGGCCTACAAGCTGACCCCCAGTGGCTACGAATGGGGCCGCCAGAACACAGACAAGGGCAACAACCCCAAGGGTTACCTGCCTTCACATTACGAGCGGGTCCAGATGCTGCTGTCCGACCGCTTCCTCGGCTTCTTCATGGTCCCTGCCCAGTCCTCATGGAACTACAACTTCATGGGTAAGTGGGGGTGGCGCTAGGGGTACGTGAGGCCATTGCCCTGCATGCTTGGGGCCCAGCTGGCTGCATGAGGCAGAGGGCCCGTAAACATCTGATGTTCCCTTCTTCCCTAAGGCGTTCGGCATGACCCCAACATGAAGTACGAGCTGCAGCTGGCGAACCCCAAAGAGTTCTACCACGAGGTGCACAGGCCCTCCCACTTCCTCAACTTTGCCCTCCTGCAGGAGGGGGAGGTGTACTCTGCAGACCGGGAGGACCTCTATGCCTAGTCGCTTCCCTGCCTCCTGCCTCAGCCCCGCCGCAGGCTGGTGACATTCAGCAGCTTGGCCCTTTCCCTGTGTGTGTGCTTATTGTGTTGTTGACTTCTTGATGGCCTCATCCTGAATAAAATATAGTAATAAATTTTGTATAAATAGGAGTTTGGGGGCTGTTTTTTTTTTCCCCTGAACTCAGATTCTGGATTTAGGTCTGACAGGTGGCAGGGCTGGGCAGTTCACGGCAAGATGCTGGGCCCAGCCGTGTTGACGGGGAGTTTGAGGCCCCTTCCTCCCTATTCGGGGCTTGGGGTTAGAAACCCCCGGACTGGGTGGAGACCTGCGGCGGGGCGGGGCGGGGCTTTCACACTGCTTCCTGGGCCACATTGGCTGGTTCCCGACAACACAGCACTGGAAGGCCTCGCCTCCTTTCCACAGCTCTGCCAGCGCTGCCCTTTCCCGGGTCTCGGAGTTCCGTGGCTTGTGCTGAGTGCTGGGGTGTCCAGCCCAGCCCTTTAAGCTTTCTGGTCACTCCTGATCAGGCAAACAAGCACACAGGCAGGCAGTTTGTGTACAGCCGCGCGGAGGCCAGTGACCCGCCGCCTACCTGTCACCACTTCCCCGGAGCGCGCGGCTGCCAAGTTGTCCCCATGACTCCAAACACGGGGGCGGAGCCTGGATCGGGCCTGTGGGAGGGCTCCACTCAAGTGACCACAGGCAGCCCTGAGCTCAGCTCCTGGCGCCTGGCTGGAAGGTGGCTGTCTGCTTCCTGTGACCTTGGGAGTGGAAGGACGGGCCCAGGGGCCTAGGGCACGATCTCCCTTCCCCACGACTGCTTCCCTCGCTCCTCCCCACCCTTCTTGCTTCTACCCCGCCCCCACCGCCCTAAAAGGCTTCCTGGGCCGGAACTGTTTGGTTTTCCCTCTTCCAGTCGGTGGGGGGTCGGGCCCCAGGGCTTTGGGGGACATGGAGCCCAGGAGGGCGGCGCCTGAGGCGCCCAGCTGGGGCCCTCCAGGGGCCGCGGGGCCAGGGACGGTGGCGGAGCTTGTGTACCACCTAGCCGGGGCCCTGGGCACTGAGCTGCAGGAGCTGGCGCGCCGTTTCGGGCCGGAGGCGGCGGCCGGGCTGGTGCCGCTAGTGGTGCGCGCGCTGGAGCTCCTGGAACAGGCTGCCGTGGGGCCCGCCCCGGACTCGGTAAGTCACCGCCCTCCCCTCGCCACCCGCGGGGCCGGCAGGGCGGAAGCCTGAGACCTGGGCTCCCCAGCTGCAGGTGTCGGCGCTGCTGGCCCAGCGGGAGCTGCGGCGACTGCGGGAGGAGAACGAGCGCCTCCGCTGGGAGCTAAGCGCCGGGCCGCAGGGTGAGCGCAGCCCCGGCCAGGGCGGGCGGGTGGCGGCCAGCTCGGGTCCTCTCCTTCCTCCCGCGGGTCGCACGCCGCCGCTAAGAACGCCCCTTCCTCAGAGGAGCGCGAGCTGCTGCGGCAGCTCAAGGAGGTGACGGACCGACAGCGGGACGAACTGCGGGCTCACAGCCGCGACCTGCGGCAGCGCGGCCAGGAGACCGAGGCGGTGAGCACGGGGCGGGGCGGGGCGGGGCGGGGCGGGGCCCTGGGCACCGCGGCGCCCTGCCTACCCCACCCTTTGCTCCGCCCCCAGTTGCAGGAGCAGTTGCAGCGCCTCCTGCTGGTGAACGCCGAGCTGCGGCAGAAGCTGGCGGCTGTGCAGACCCAGCTGCGTGCCGCGCAGGACCGCGAGACGGAGCGCCAGCAGCCTGGAGGAGGCGCGGCCCCGCCGGCTGAAGAGCGAGCGCGGGGCCAGGCCGGCGGGCCGGGGCACCAGCAGGGGCAGGAGCCCGAACCGGCGACCCCTGAGGACCCGGTGAGTGTCGCACGAGGGCAAGGACCCAGCCCAGGAGGGCGCTCGGGCCAGGTCCGCATCGGCACAGCAGTCCGCGCCCCGACCCGGCCTCTGTTACCTGTTGGGGCAACCTTGTCCCCCAAGTCTCCCTGCCTGTCACTTCGTCTAGCGTTCCCGCGATGGCCCTCGAGCGCGACCCTCTGACCGCGCCTGTCCTTCTAAAGGCAGAGGCCGCGCAGCCGCCAGGGCGCCCCCGGGAGGCAGGGCAGTGCCGCTTCAGCCGGGAGGAGTTTGAGCAGATCCTTCAGGAGCGCAATGAACTCAAAGCCACAGCGTTCCTGCTCAAGGAGGAGCTGGCCTACTTCCAGCGGTGAGGGTGCCGGGAAGCTGAGGGGCTCCGATCACTCCACCTCTTTCTCCCGGCATGGACATGTCCACAGTGACATGGTGACATGTGCCAGGCCTTCGCTGGGTAGTGGGAGGATGTAAATTGCACAGCCCCACCCCTCCACAACGTCACCCAGACACAGAAGAGGGACAGTGCACAGGGTCACCGCTGCAGGCGCCAGGGAAGCTCTCCTAGGAGGGGCACCTAAGCAAAGGTCTGAGGGTGTCAGCAAGGCACAGGTTTCAGGTGTCCAGGGAGGAGCCGCTGCACCGGTACCAGGAGTGAGGCCCACGGCTGCATCTCCACTGCTTTCTCCTGCCCCGCCCCTCTTCTGCAGGGAGCTGCTCACCGACCACCGGGTCCCCGGCCTTCTGCTGGAAGCTATGAAGGTGGCTGTCAGGAAGCAGCGGAAGAAGATCAAGGCCAAGATGTTAGGGACGCCAGATGAAGCAGAGAGCAGGTGGGTCCCTGCCTGCATCCCCACCGAGCCAGCCCCCTCCCAAGTTCTGCTGAGCCTGATGACCTGGCCTGGTCACCCTCTGAGCCCATTGTCTCAGACTGAGCCTGTCACCCCAACGTGCTCTCCCCTCGAGCCTCCCAGCCTGGCCACTTTTAGGGCCTGCTGACCTGGTCTGGCTGGGTCATGTGGCTGCAGTCCAGGCTGCGCCCTTCTCCCTGGATCTCATGGCTCCCCTTGCCTTGCCTGCTGGCTATCCTGCCTGCCAGTGCTGCCTCCCCACCTTCAGCCTTCAGCTCCTGGCCTTGGCTGGCTCTGTCTGTTCTTACGGGAGTGACACCGTAGCTGTGTCAGGGCCGCTGTGTGTCGAGACATAAAGCCTCGTCAGGTGCGGTGGCTCACGCCTGTCATCCCAGCACTTTGGGAGGCTGAGGCGGACAGATCGCAAGGTCAGGAGTTTGAGACCAGCCTGGCCAACATGGTGAAACCCCGTTTCTACTAAAAATACAAAAATTAGCCGGGTGTGGTGGCGCACGCCTGTAATCCCAGCTACTCGGGAGGCTGAGGCAAGAGCATTGCTTGAGACCAGGAGGCGGAGGTTGCAGTGACCTGAGATCATGCCACTGCACTCCAGCCTGGGCGACAGAGCCAGACTCCGTCTCAAAAATAAAATAAAAAATAAAGCCTCAAGACATCCTGCATCTCCCCAGGGTCACCTTCTCTCCAGCCCTGGGGGCCCTGCTGTCCCTCATTCCCCCTGCTGGATTCCCGCTGTCCCTCAGGCCTTGATCCCTGGCCCTCACGTCTCCTCTCTCCTGTCTCAGTGACGATGAGGATGGCTCCTGGCTCCTGCTCGCTGATGATAAGAATGACCATCCCCCACCCCCAGAGTCCAAAATACAGAGTTTGTATGTTGGGGGAAGGGGAAGGGCAAGAGTGGGGGAGGGAGGAAGGGTCCTGGATCCCCTTTCCCGCTTCCCTGCCTGTCACCCTGCTGTCCTTTGCTCTAAGCAGGCCCTCCCCTCCTGCTTCTCTGACCGACCATCGACCATCGGCCCCATCACCTTCCCACTCCCTCAGGCTGCCCTTCCCTGCCCCTCTCCCCTGTTCTCACCCCCCCACCCGCCCTCTGCCCATGTCCTGGACCTCTCCGGCTTCCTGGCGCAGAGTGCCTCTGGCTGTCTCTCCAGCTTTGGCCTGTGGTATCGCGGGAAAGCCGAATCCCCAGAGGATGAGACCCACAGCCCTGCTCCCGGCAAGCCAGGGGGAGAAGAGGAGACCCAACCACAGTCTCCAGCTCCTGAGCTGCCCTATCCTGCCCGCCAGGAGCATCTCTGTCTGGGGGCCTCAGCCGCCCCAGAGGCCTGACTTGGGGACCTGGCTGTGGCTGGATGTGCGACCTCATGAGGACAGGGCTCCCTCCTTCGTGGCCTCCCAGGCGTCTTCCCCAGTTCTGGCCTGCACCAGGGCAGCATGGGGGCTCAGCCCACCTCCCTCTCTATGACTCTGTACCAGACCTCTGGGGCCAGATATCAGAGCGCCTCTCTGAGTCTCAGTTTCCCCATCCATGAAATGAGAGCTGGCTCCCAGGGCTTTGTGCGGACGGCCTGAGCTCGTGTAATAAAGAACTGCCCGGAACTCCCAGAAACTGTCCCTCTCCTGTCTGTCCATGTCCGTCTCGCCTCCAAGCCCCGCCAGGAGCAGAGGCAGGCCAAGGGGGCCTCAGGGCGTCCTTGGTCAGTCACTGGGTGGGGAGGCTTCTTGCAGCCCCGTCCTTGCTTTGGGATTGCAGTCTGATGGAGGGCCGAGGTGCCCACCCTCACTCCACCTGCTTCCTCGGTCCCAGCACCCGGGGACCTGCAGCTTCACCCTTCTGGCCCCACCAGGCCGAGGCCTGCCACTGGCCTCCTTTCCCTTTCTTGTTTTGAGTGTCGGTCTGTCCTGCAGCCCCCGCCCCCTCAGGGAGGCGCCTCAGGGCTGCCCGCCCCTCCGGCCTGGTTTCCTCAGGAAAAGCCCTGGGAGGAAGCAGGGAGGAGGTCGGGAGCTGTGGGGGCCAGAGTAACCCAGCCCTCCCTGCACGGCTGCCATGGGGCTGCGGCTGCTGCTCCCACTGCTGCTGCTCTGGCCTCGGGGGACTTGGGGGTCCCAGCTGGACCCCAGTGGGCAGCACGTCTGTGTGGCCAGCAGGTGGGTTTCGTGGGAGTCTGACGGGGGTGGCTGAGCCGGTGCTGAGGCCTGTGGGGGAAGGAGGGCGTAGGAAGAGGTCTTGGCGCTGGAAGGACGGGCTGCTGGGGGCCGCCTGGCAGGCAGTGGCTCGCCAGGGCAGATGGTGGAAGGGCCAGGGAAGGAGTGGGGAGGAGCTGGGGACCCCAGAGCTGTACAGGTCCACTAGGCCTCCCCAGGGGGCTAAGGCAGCCTCCCCCACCTCACAGAGACAGTGATCCACGCTGCTCGGGGGCAGGCCGCACCCCGCCACTCCCGCTGACCCCTTTCTGCCCCACAGCCCCTCTGCTGAGCTGCAGTGCTGCGCAGGCTGGAGGCAGAAAGACCAAGAATGCAGCATCCGTGAGTACCCAGGACAGACCCCCAGCCAAGGAGAAGGGAGGACGCAGCCAGCGACAGCCCCTCCTGCCTCCCCCTGGGGCCTGCTTCCCTCCCACCCAGGAGCCAGGCTTTCTCCTGCGATGCCCCCAGCCCTGAAGGGGCACCCCTTGAGGAGGCTTGGCCCCCAGAGCCAGTGAGAGGGCGGAGCTGTCCCCTGGTCCTGCCCATCTTTCCAACCTGGGTGGGTGTCTTTCAGCCATCTGTGAGGGGCCGGACGCCTGCCGGGAAGACGAGGTGTGTGTGAAGCCGGGCCTCTGTCGGTGCAAACCTGGGTTCTTTGGGGCCCACTGCAGCTCCCGTGAGTCCCAGGGGCAGGACGAGGTTGCTGGGCAGAGCTGGGCACGGGGGCGGTGGTGTCGGGGAGGCAAGGCAGGTACCGAGCAGCCTCAGGACAGCAGGGTCAGAACCCCTCCCAGCCTCTGAGGAGTCAAGGTCCAGAGACAGGAAGTGACACACTCCTGGGAGATGGTCTGGGGCACTGGGTTTTCACCCACATCCACAAAGCCCTGCCCACCTGAGTATCTTTCTGTTCCACTTCTCGGAAAACCTGTGACTCTTGTTAACTGCAACATGACTGTGTTCCTGGTCTTTCCCACATACGTCTTTTACATGGACGGTGGAGGGAAGGAGGTCCTGCTGGGCTGTGTGCCCTCTCTGGCCGAAACAGAGAGAAGGGGAAGGGGTTGGGTAGCAGGAGAGCCGGAGGGTGGGCACCAGCAGTCAAGGGATCACTAGGGGAAGGGCTGCTTCTCCTGCCACCCTGGCGGGCAGCATCCACGCCTGAGATCGGGAGGGAGTCCTGCTCTTCTCCAGCCCAGTAGGGATCGATCTCTGCGGGGAGGAGCGGCATGAAGGCAGCCCCTCCCCCCCACCTCTGCCCGGGACTCTGGGCAAGTCCCCTGCCCACTCGGGATCTCTGAGTGTGTTCTGGAGTGGGAGGCGGGAGGCTGAGCCATGGCGAAGGGTTTTCTGTAGGTCAGAGCAGAGCAGGAAGTGACTGTTGCCCAGACAGGCTGCCGGATGTTCCAAGGGTCTGTCCCCGGTCCCCGGTCCTCGGAGGGTGGGCCGGCGCCCCTTTTCCTTGTGGAAGGGGATGCAGGGTCAGGATCCGCGCGCGCCCTGAGCCCGCTGACCCCTTCCTTCCCACCCCGCAGGCTGCCCGGGCCAGTACTGGGGCCCCGACTGCCGCGAGAGCTGTCCCTGCCATCCACACGGCCAGTGCGAGCCGGCCACAGGCGCGTGCCAGTGCCAAGCCGACCGCTGGGGCGCCCGCTGCGAGTTCGCGTGCGCATGCGGCCCCCACGGCCGCTGCGACCCTGCCACTGGCGTGTGCCACTGCGAGCCGGGCTGGTGGTCGTCCACCTGCCGCCGCCCGTGCCAATGCAACCCCGCGGCGGCGCGCTGTGACCAGGCCACGGGCGCCTGCGTGTGCCAGCCGGGCTGGTGGGGCCGCCGCTGCAGCTTCCGCTGCGCCTGCCATGGCTCCCCGTGCGAGCAGGACTCGGGCCGCTGCGCCTGCCGGCCGGGCTGGTGGGGCCCCAACTGCCGGCAGCAGTGCCAGTGCGAGCGCGGCCAATGTAGCCCCGCCTCTGGCCAGTGCACCTGCCCGCCGGGCTTCCGCGGAGCGCGCTGCGAGCTGCCTTGCCAGGCCGGGAGCTACGGGGTGCAGTGCGGACTCAGGTGAGCGGACAGGGCGGGCACAGGTGAGTGGGGCGGGGCGGGCAGGTGAGCGAGGCGGGATGGACACAGGTGAGCAGGGCGGGGCGGGGCGAACACGAGTGAGCACGGCGGACAGGTGAGTGGGGCGGGACGGACACAGGTGGGCGGGGCGGGGCGGACATAGGTGGGCGGGGCAGGGGAGCCAGGAGGAGGGGTCAGGGCTTAGCAGTGCTCCCCTCAAAAAACATACGAAGCAGAGACGTGAAAGGGGAAAGAACGGTCGGGCGCGGTGGCTCACGCCTGTAATCCCAGCACTTTGGGAGGCTGAGGCGGGAGGATCACCTGAGGTCAGGAGTTGGAGACCAGCCTGGCCAACATGGAGAAACCCCATCTCTACTAAAAATACAAAAATCAGCCGGGCATAGTGGCGGGTGCCTGTAGTCCCAGCTACTCGGGTAGGCTAAGGCAGGAGAATCGCTGGAACCCGGGAGGCAGAGGTTGCAGTGATCGCCCCACTGCACTCCAGCCTGGTCAACAGAGGGATATTCCGTCTCAAGAAAACAAAACAGGGACTCCATGTTTGGTCCCCTTCCACGAACACTCCCTTAATGGAAGCCGTCTTTCTCTCTCCTGGATTTCCCCTCTGGGGCCCCCTTCCACACTCTCTCTGGAAGCCTGTCTTCCCCTCCTAGACTCCATCTCTCTCTATTCCCTTCCACTCAGTGTGGAGCTGCTTTCCTCTCCTGGATCCCATCTTTGTGGATTCTCTCACTCAGCCTGAGAGTTAGCTGTTTCTCTCTCTTTCTCCTGTTTCTCTCCCTAAATAAATGACTTTCTTTCTTTCCTTTTTTTTTTTTTTTTTAATAAGAAATGCTTGACGAATTTGCGTCATCTTTGCGCAGGGGCCATGCTAATCTTCTCTGTATCGTTCCAATTTTAGTGTATGTGCTGCTGAAGTGAGCACATAAATGACTTTCTACAAACAAGAAAACAATTTATTTAATTTTTATTTTTACGCTTTTATTTTTACTTTTTTATTTTTTTAAGACGGAGCCTTGCCCTGTTGATAGGCTGGAGTGCAGTGGTGCGATCTCGCCTCACAGAAATCTCCACCTCCCAGGTTCAAGCAATTCTCCTCCCTCAGCCTCCCTAGTGGCTGGGACTACAGACGCGCCCACCATACCCAGCTAATGTTTGTATTTTTAGTAGAGACGGGGTTTCACCATATAGGTCTCTATCTTCTTACCTCGTGATCCACCCGCCTCAGCCTCCCAAAGTGCTGGGATTACAGGCGTGAGCCACCGCACCCAGTCAAAAAGTTAAAAAACCCTTTGTTGCCCCCGGTCCAGCCGCACCTGCTCATTTCATCTGATTACTGCTTTGCAAAAAGTACTAGTCCTGCTCACAGGCCAGATGTAGATAATGAATGGGTCGAGTGACCAGACGTCCTGGGCAAGATCCCTTTAGGACTCAGTCGTTTTCAAACTTTGACCGTCTCCACTCACAGTAAGAAATTTCATCCATGGATGGGCGTGGTGGCTCACGCCTGTAATCCCAGCACTTTGGGAGGCCCAGGTGGGCAGATCACCTGAGGGTCAAGAGTTCGAGACTGGCCTGACCAACACTGAGAAACCCCATCTCTACTAAAAATACAAAAAATTAGCTGGGCGTGGTAGCACATGCCTGAAATCCCAGCTGCTCAGGAGGCCGAGGTAGGAGAATTGCATGAATACGGGAGGCAGACGTTGTGTTGAGCCGAGATTATGCTATTGCGCTCCAGCCTGGGTAACAAGATCGAAACTCCATCTCAAAGAAAAATTTTCATCCCTGGCTAGGTGCAGTGGCTCATGCCTGTAATCCCAGCACTTTGGGAGGCCGAGGCGGGTGGATCACCTGAGGTCAGGAGTTCAAGACCAGCCTGACCAACAAGGTGAAACCACACGCCAGGTGTGGTGGCGTGCCTGTAGTCCCAGCTACTCAGGAGGCTGAGGCAAGAGAATCACTTGAACCCAGGAGACAGAGGTTGCAGTGAGCCGAGATCAGTCCACCGCACTCCAGCCTGGGCGACAGAGTGAGAATATGTCTCAAAAAAAAAGAAAATTGTCATCTGATCCAACATATATAACACGTTTTATTTAACTGAAATAGGATTTATTTATTTATTTATTTTTGAGACAGAGTCTCACTCTGTTGCTCAGGCTGGAGTGCAGTGGCGCCATCTCTGCTCACTGCAGCCTCCACCTCCCAGGCTCAAGCAATTCTCTCATCTCAGCCTCCCGAGCAGCTGAGATTACAGGCTCGTGCCACACACCCGGCTAATTTTTGTAGTGACAGTGGGCTCACTTTGTTGCCCAGGCTGGTCTCAAACTTCCTCACTCAAG